TGTATATGCCACAGCCAGCAGGCCATTGGCCAAGGTTCGATAGCGTGTACTTTTCCGGCCTGCGGGGGCCCTGACAGCCGATGTATCTACTCGCCTCGCCCACATCCTTTTCCGTAGCTTGTCACTAATTCAGTGACCCCCCAGACCAACTCATCGATGCGTATCAGAAGTTCTGCGCCGATGCTCTCGGATCGAACAGCTCCGTAACCTCGATACCCAGCCCAACCTCCAGCGCGGTCAGCACAACGGCAACAGGGACGGCGGGGGCGGGGGCGGGAAGCACCACGACGACAGGAGCAACGGGAGCGACGGCGGCAGCGGACCCGGCCACGCCCCCTTCTAGTTCCCTGAGCATGGGTGCGAAAGCCGGGATCGGGGTCGGGGCCAGCGTGGCCACCATATCCATCGTAGCCGGGCTGCTGTCCATCGGCTTCCGGTTCGGCAAGAAGAGAAAGCTGCGAGGCGACGGGCCCACGGACCCGGAAGCGTCGGGCGGGCCTCCTTCGACAACGGCACCAGCAGCAACGGGTCCGACCTCGCCTCCGCCGACGAAGGACGACATGTACGAGACCGGGGACAAACCGCTGCTGGACGGGAGGCCGATCGCGGAGCTCGACGCGCAGCACGACGCCCCGGCGATGGCGGCGGACTCGATGTCGGAGCTTCCCGCCTACGAGAAACCGATAGAGATGAGCCACGCCCCGGTCACGGCCGAGCTGCCGGATACGAGCTGGCTCGCGGGGCCCTCTCCCGGTCGGGGAGATGGCGACGTGGTATCGGGGAGATGACCAGGGGGAAACTACAGGTAGTAGTAAGACTAAGTTGGTAATGACGAGTTCGATGAGAGGCCACGGTACGGGTTGGACCAAGTGGATGAAAGACTTCCGTCCCTTCGGGGAGGGACGGCGGGGGCGGTGGTGATGGTGGTTACTAGTAGTTAGCCTTGGCCGTGTGGCATGAGGAGGTCGGGGGCTCGCCGACCGGACGGCGACGAGTTACAGCCTAATTGAGAATTCAACTGCGAAAATGCCAAATTTGAGGTCGGGAAAGGGAGTCTTGCGTAAAAATATCAAGAGAAGCATGGATGTGCCCGGAAGGCTAGAGCTGATGGCCGTCAAGGATAGGGGTGAAAAGCAGCCGAAATCCTGAACCGGAACCTTTCATATTTCCAACGACACACCAGAGTCATCATGTTGTATATCGAGTTTGATGCCGGAACGACTGTCTTGTGACCACGTATTATGGAGTCCCCTCCCTTGTACCAAAAGCATGTTGACCTATGGATATCGAGACTTCAGACGACGCGTACATAGATAGTAACTGGAATCATATGAAAGATTTTGGCCGCCCCCTGAAGCAATACAGCCCGGGATCTTAAAGAGAAAGAGGATGGATGCATATAACATTGAGTCTAGTTAGCCCCTATCTAACTAACCCCTGAATGCTCTCTCTATGCCAACAACTACTCGATATCATTATGAGTCATAGGAAACACACACACAATCGTAGCACTCCTAGATGATATGGATAGTGAAAAACACATGCTAGTAGTAGTCTGCGTCCCATGCTTGTAGAAGCGTGTCAACAACGTTTCTAGAGCTTTGTGGGTAATTGAGTCATCGCAAAACCACATTGCTTATTCTGATTTACCCCTATTCTTGCTTATGCGGCAGAATCTATCCTATGATGGTCTGTCTGCAAGCGTCATCAGGCCTACTACATACCTACCCACCCCCTAGGGGTGTCGGGAGTACCAAAACACATGATCCATCATCCATCCATCATACGACAGTACTGAAGTGTGTCATTGAGACTGAGATCGGCTACATGTGAACTCAACGCCGGGTTTCTAAAGTCCTGCTTGCCCTTTTCCAGAGCCCATTCATTACATTTTGTCTATACCTTCCATTTATATCCCGCACCCTCAAAATCCTGGTAAAGTCCCTTCCCACTACCCCCAGCTCTCCAGACCCCTCAGAACACACCCCTCCTCCCCTTGCGCCCTCTCGCCCAGCTCGCCAATGACATAGAATTTCTCCCCGGACGCGCTCAGCTTCTCCTTTACGCTCTCTACCTCCTCCGCGCTCACGACAGCCACCATCCCGACTCCCGTATTGAATGTCCGAGCCATCTCCCGCGCATCCACATTCCCCGCGCTCTTCAGCCACCGAAATACGGGCGGTAACTCCCACGCCGAGACGTCGATACGCGCCGTCAGGTGCGACGGCAGCATGCGCGGCACGTTTTCCGTAATTCCGCCGCCCGTGATGTGGGCGAGACCCTTCAGCGATGACAGGACTGACAGGACAGATTTCACATAGATCCGCGTCGGTGTGAGCAGGGACTCCCCCACGGACTTGGCCCCATCCCACGGCGCCGGGCTCGAGTATGAGAGCTGCTCGCGCGCCAGGATCCGGCGCACGAGCGAGAAACCGTTCGAGTGCACGCCTGAGGACGCGAGACCCAAAAGCACGTCACCCGGTTTCATGGCCGAGTGCCGCGGGAGTCGGTCGCCCGCCCTCATGACGCCGATGGCGGCGCCCGCGGCATCGTAGTCATCATCCTGATACATGCCGGGCATCTCCGCGGTTTCGCCTCCCACGAGCGCGCAGCCCGCGTCCCGACACCCGGATGCGACACTCTCGACGAACGACGCGGCAACTTCCGGGTTCAGCTTGCTGCAGCCAAAGTAGTCGAGGAACATGAGTGGCTCAGCGCCCTGGACGACTAAGTCATTCACATTCATGGCGACCAGATCAATACCAACAGTGCTATGGTTTCGTGTCGCCTGCGCGATCATGAGCTTGGTTCCCACACCGTCGATGGCGCCGACCATTATCGGCGCGTCGCTTGAAAAGCCCGCTTTCGAGAGATTGACTTCGCCCCCGAAACCCCCTATTTCAGCGTCGGCGCCCGCCCGCGCCGTTGACCGGACTGCGTTACGTATACGTTCCACCAGCTGATTGCCCGCGTCTATGCTGACGCCCGCCTCGGCGTAGGTTAGGGCATCTTTGGTCTCTTTAGTGGGCTTGAAGGCTCGATGTGCGATGTCCTTGCGGTAGTACATGTTCTGGAACTGGATCAATTTTACGCCTTCGTACGCCTTGTCGACGGCAGCTCGGAGGCTTTCGCTAGCAGTGGCGCTGGCCGCTATCACTCGACCACCCGCCGTAACTAGTTTGTCATTGGCTAGTTTGGTTCCGGCATGGAATATGTTGATACCATTTGGTGGGGATTGGACCGTCATCTCATCGCCCTTGGCGTAAGACTCTGGATAACCCCCAGCAGCCACGACTACGGTTGCGCTGAAGTTTGGTTCAACCTTGATTAGGACGCTGTCGAGGTAGCGTTCCGAACAAGCGACCATGACCTTGGCGAGATCTGTGTCTGCTGACAGAAGTGGCAGCACAGTCTGTGTTTCTGGATCTCCGAATCGGACGTTGTACTCCAGCACTTTCGGGCCACTCGAAGTTATCATCAGTCCCGTAAATAGCACGCCAACGAATGGCATCTGATCCTTTCGCATACCGTCGATCGTGGGCTGAATGATGTCGCGGTCGATTTGAGCGACGAGGTCGGGCGTCGCAATGTTCGTTGGCGCGTAGCAACCCATGCCTCCGGTGTTCAGGCCCGTATCTCCTTCGCCGACTCTCTTGTGATCCTGAGCCGGAGGTAGAGACTTGATGGTGTACCCATCGCTGAAAGTGAGAATGCTCAGCTCATCTCCGGCTAAGAATTCTTCAATGACCACCTCGTCTCCCGCAGAACCAAATTCCTTGGTCTGCATTATGTCCTTGAGTGCCTGGTGTGCTTCCTCTTTCGAAGTTGGTATTATGACGCCTTTGCCAGCTGCCAGGCCATCAGCCTTGATGACGACGTCGTGTTGTACTCGGTCGAGGTATTCGCGGGCCTTTTCGTAGTCGGAGAAATTCTCGTAAGCGGCGGTAGGGATTCTGTGCTTTTTCATGAAGTCCTTGGAAAAGGTCTTGCTCCCTTCCATTCGAGCAGCCTTCTTGGAAGGGCCGAAGCTCTTTATACCGGCATCTTCGAAAAAGTCAACAGCACCGGCAACGAGGGGCGCCTCGGGACCTGGAATAACATAGTTGATGTCGTTTTTGCGGGCGAGATCAAGCAAGGCTGGAAAGTCTTCGGGCGATACGGTGGTATCGTTGGTGACTTTGGGGCATGTGGCTGTACCTCCATTTCCTGGTACAGCTATAATAGACTCGACTAGGGAAGATTGGCTCAACTTCCAGGCAATGGCGTGTTCCCGTCCTCCATTGCCAATGAGGAGAATGCGAAGCGGATAATGGACACCCATGGCTTACGAAGGAAGTATTGTCTCCTATACAATTAGAAAAGAACCCAAGGGGCGCATCAACCTTGTAGGATTTCTTGTTGGGTCTCGTGAGGACGATCGAAAGCTACCAAAAAAGAAAAAAAGTCGCATGCCATTTTCAAACCTGCAAAACTACCCCTCCCCCGCGATGTCGAGCGGGCCAATCAAGTTGTCCAATTTGATTGAGGCTACAAAGTTGATTTTGGTGGGGTACCATGCATGTACTCCTTGGCGGATTATTATGTAAGCTCTGACCTACACAATATGATTGTGATTATGTGAACATCAAAAATCGATACCAAATATGCGCCCACAACATATTCCCAGTTGCTGGCTCCATACTTCGTTTGCAAGTAGATTGATGTGTAATCTCCATAAGCTTGATATCACTCACCTAGGTATACCTAGCTAGGTACACATGTTTCCAATTTACCTGCTGCCAGCAGCTGCAATTTTATTACTTACTTGATTCTCAAGCAAACATAAGCAAACAGGACTTAATCGATATCCATGGATGTCTAACGTGCCCCACCTGATTGATCTGCTATTAGTGTCATCCACCCACCCACCGGCCAATCTCATTAACACTCTCTCTCTCCTAACTGGCCCACCTCTATCTCACGAATATGACCCATTCTAATCGGCGAAACGTCATCCAATAGCCTTTATAGCTCAGTGGTAGAGCGTTGCACTTGTAAGAGCGTTTTCACAGCGCTTGAATAGCTTCAAGATCATGCAAAGGTCCGTCGTTCAATCCGGCGTGGAGGCATTTAATCACTGTTTTGAAGTTTTGCAATTCTCATCAGATCTGTTCCCACTGCACATTTGTGTGCGCTTGACTTTTTATCCTCCATAATTATTCAAAAGCATATGAGAGCATAAATAATAATGAAAGCTTTTATGAAATGCCAAGAATAATAATATTCTTTTCTCTCTGCACCCAGAATTATTAACCAACACCTTTTATCGAGGTACATACAAACCGACCGATGTACGTTATTTTAGAGGAGTGTTTTGATACTGTCCCATGGTTTGTTACTTGATACAATAAACACCTACCTCTTTTATCAATGAATAGTACCAAAGTATCTATCTGTCTGTCTGCGACTGATCATCGAAGCAAAAACTGTATGTCATAGAAATCGCATCGAGGTTAGTAGATCGATCAACCACGAGATGCACAGTGCACACACAGAGAGCAGAAGAGCCCCCCCTCTCTGTCTTTACCATATATATATATATATAGTCAACATTGCCCATCGTCACTCACGGACTCTCCTCCCCTTTGGTGATAACTGGGATATGTATTGTATGTATGACTGACTGTCGCTTCCAGTGCTTATCGCCAGGATCCTTCATCATTCTCTAAATACTAGAAATACCGCTCATTCTTGGCATAATGTCGACTTTGTTACGCCGGGGGATCTCGAGCTCACCCAATATGTGTACTAGTCTCGTCGCCTTACACATCGCTCTCGGCTAACAAAGAAACCCCAACTGCTCTTCTTGTCATGATTGATAGCGTCGGAGGGGAGAATACGTGTCAGTTCCGGGGCGTGAGGTGATGAGTTCTTGGGGCTGGCTTCATGGTGAATGAACAGGAAGCGATTATCCTTTGCACTAACATAGAGAACATGGAGCCCCCCGATGAGGAGGAGGAGGGTTCAATCAGCTAACCAAGCAGGTGCATATTACTTCCAGATCCAACCAAGATCATCACATGTAAGCAAAAGGATTATGGCAAGCAATCATGGGACTCGCTTGACCTATCTGCAAAGGGGATATAATAATAGATAGATAGATAGATAGATAGATTGATAGGGGGTGGGTGTGTTCTTCATCACGTGGCAGAATCTGTCATACGTTAAGCGGATTGATTACCTGTCGAGGATGGTGCTTCATTGAGTATCAGCAGCAACTTCCTAGTAATTCAGAATGTTATAAATACTTGGACTGAATAATTTGCATGCAGCAGAGACGTATCGAAACGAATCCATAGAGCACACGATCCTTAGTGATTTTGAGCATCTGGATATAGCAGTTATATACATGGTGTAATGTAATAAATAGTATCAAACTTCCCATATAGCACAAATGGCAATGCTGTGATATGGGTGTATACCTATTTATTAAATAGTTCATTAAATTCGAATCCAAGCAATAGATATAGGTAGCCTCGACATATCGATGATGTGAGTTGGGTGGTCCCAGGGCTGGTGTAGTCTTTTGCCTGTGGCTCGGGGCGTCTATATGCCCGACGTAGTTCTCGGGTATTTCGTAGGTGAGGGTTTGCTCAGGAGGTCTTTGATTATCGGTAAGAGATTCAACATGTCTCATGTCAGGCAAAAGTGGCAGCAAACATTCACTGATCTGATAGAATAATCGGCACCGATTGAGTGTCCACTGCGCCTTCGGATCGATCTGCTGCGGATTCTTCCCTACAAGATGCTTGGATTAATTTTGGCGCGCCAAGGGCGGCTACTCCCGAGCTCTGTAGATGGTCGCATCTCGTTGGTGCAACCAACCCCCAACCCAATGCAGTCACGCACAGCCAGTTCTGGTCACAGGAACAGTGTTCATGAGACATTTCCAGACTCATTTCGGGACTTGAGAAACTGTGGAAAAGACTGCCACACCCATCACCCACCACCCTTCTGCACCACCACCACCACCACCACCACCACCACCACCACCATCACCATCACCATCACCACCCCCCCCAGGTAGTTGCACATCCCACACTCATATAGGTACATTCATTATCGGAATTCCAACAGATCAGCAGCACTTGCCATTCATGTAATTATCTTGGGCCCCGTGTCATGTCATGTGCACATAGATGGTTCCCTTTTCGAAATCCTGAGCTCCTAATTCGAGTTGCCAAATGACCATAATCAATCCTCTCGACGGATGAGTTTTATTTCAGAGCAAACACACGGAATCGCCATGAGGACAGAGACATCATACATATGCCTCTCCAGGAATCGGTAATCAAAAGCGACATAAAAAGAAATTAAGAGGGGGAAATTAAGAAAGATTAGTGATCAAGTTTACGTGATATCCACTGAGCAAATTGTAGGGAAATCGAGCAGGTGTGTGATGGTGCTGGCGATGGTGACGAGCTGACGGACGCGCATGCAATATTGGAAGAGACGATAGGAGTTCGAGATGGATGTCATGGATGGATGTCAGTTGGAGAATGGATAGGAGAGAGCACTGAGAGCAGGGAGCTGGGGAGGGATGGACTCACCTGAAGCGTTGGTGTGCATATGGGAGGTGCATGGCGATCTGATTGGCCAGAGGTCGCTCGGTGGGTGGTGGTGTGGTAGCGGGTCTGCAAGTGGCTCGTGCGTTGGGGGTCATATGGCCTGAGCAGTGGTAGTGGCAGTCCCCAATCTTGCCAATGCCAAATGCCACATGCCTCTCCACCAGGCCACCTTCTTCCCTCAACTCCTCCACCATCGCGGCCGCCTTTCCCATTTTCCCACTGCGAGACAACAAACTCTAAAATCAGAGAAAATCCGAAGCCAGACCTCTCCGACTCGAGATCCTACATATTCGTCTATTGTCCGGCCAAAGCAACCAATTCCCGACCCAGACCGAGTTTCCCATCTTTATATTTCCCCAGATCACGAGGTTTCGAGGCTACCGAATTTCGACTATCGATCCGAGAGCACGTGAAGTCACTTGACTGAAGACCCAAAGTTCTCCCCCAAAAAGACCACTGCACGATAGATCTGGCACATGATCTCAGGTAAGTCGTTCTCCATCAATATCCATCTTTTTATTATCGTCGCATCCATCGCTGCCATTGTTCCCTCTCGCTGCAAGCTCAACCTTCCCATTATCCCCAAACATGGTGTCGCGTCTGTATTATCGCGAAAATTTTGTTTGTCGCCTTCGACGATGCCGTCGCGACTGCATCGACAACAAAACAGTGCGTCGTTCTTGAGCCTTGAAGACATGCGCATGCATTTGATGCGACCACGGCAAACGACATGTCTTACGCTGAAATCTCGACTGTTTGTGCAAGCGAATGATCCTGCTCTAAACGCCGCGGCACGCTTGAAATATTTAACCCTAGCTATCGCGTCAAGTCAGCAATAAGGTACAATGACTCTGATCCGGTGTGATCTTATCTTCGCGTGCCGCATCTCCACTTGTCACTATGGAGTCCGTAACTGCGGGTGCACGTGAGCCTGTACTGTGGCAGCTCTTCGCCATCGGCTATTCACATATATGATGATTTCATCTTGATGGCAGCGTTCTTAATGGCAGCGACTGGCGACCTTTTCATACAATTTGCTTCTGCTGAGAACCGATTACTGACAGAGACCAGCTTTCCCACTGGAGGGCTGAGATTCCCACCCACTTCTCTCGTCTGTGGCCAGGGCACTGCCGGATCTACAGTACGTCTAGTCAAACCGACCACAAGCATTCTGCCGCTGGGCAACTATGGAGTCCAATGGCTACACCCATACCGAGTCGCTCCTGGATCCACTGAGTCAAATAAACGGTGAGCATCTGGCTGCCGTGGCCAACGCAGCTGTGGCCGACCACCACAGCGACTATGGTGCAACATCTCCATCCAGCTCCCACCAGAAGCGAAAGCGTGGCGCACCGGATTCATCACCTAACTCAAGACATACCAAGCGCGGCGCCCCTCCGGCGACCATGTCAAGCACCCCGGATCCCGCATCCGCAGCCTATGTAGAAAGTGCCGTGGAAGCCGCTCAGGCTGCAGCTCAAGCTGCCACCAATGCTGACTTTGCTGCTCTCCAGCAGGCTGCTTCTGAACGTCACGAGGCTTCGGATCCAGCCAATGCTTCGAGTACTGCTGCAGCGGCTCTCGGAACTCTATATCCTACATTGAATGTCCCTCAGGCAACTGAGGAGACATTCGCTGCACAGGCCGAGGCTAGCGATAATCAAGAGCAATCCTATAACCACCCTGACATGATACATTCCGACGGTCTCCCCGAGACATCCGCACAACAGTCAGGTCGTAACGGGCTCAGAGTTCCCGCACACGGCTATGGACCACCACCTGGCATCAAGCCTGCAGTGGGTTCGGAAGAGTGGCACAAGCTGCGGAAAGATAACCACAAAGAGGGTGAGTCAGTCAATCAACGTGGGCTACGCTCATTACTTATTAGTACCTTACTAATTACTGTGTAGTGGAACGTCGTCGTAGAGAGACTATCAACGAGGGCATCAACGAGCTTGCCAAGATTGTACCCGGCTGCGAAAAGAACAAGGGATCCATCTTGCAGCGTGCTGTTGCATTCATCACTCAGCTGAAGGAAAACGAGGCACAGAATATTGAAAGATGGACGCTCGAGAAACTTCTCACGGAGCAAGCCATCCAAGAGCTCAGCACCTCAAACGACAAGCTGAAGCAGGAATGTGAACGGGCTTACAGGGAACTGTCCACATGGAAGCAGGTTGCCCAGAGTGCAGGACTACACCCACCTCAGCCCAAGGAAGAGTCTTCGACTTAGTGATTCTAGGCTCAGGGCTCAGGTTGATACGGGTGGATGCCACACTCCTAAACCCCATGTTCTATTGGCTCTATACCCTACATCATATCCTTTGACTCGTGGCGTCTTTCCACCTTGCGGGGAACCCAGATAGAAGTGGGCGCTGGAAATCTTTCTCAGCCAGCAGGCGTTTATGCTAGCCAGACTCGGGGGATCGAGGGCTGACATTCTGATTACTTTGAAGACGGCTAGAAATATGGAAACCGATGACCGAGGTTCCAGGACTGGC